TAAAAATGTGTTTAAATCTCATAGGCCTGGTTTCTATAGCTTGTGCAGGAATCTGCCTTTCCAAATGCACATTTCAGACTCCTGATTGCTTCATCTATTCCTGTTACGCATGCGCAGCAGGGAAGAGCACACACTGAACATACATGCTTGCAAGGGAAAATCTACGTATGGTTGGCTTAACTACATTGTTCCCATTCATTTTAACATACTCTGACACTTGTGAGTGTACGATCCCCTAATAAAATCAGTGACTTATTACACCTTTATTTCAATATTAACCAGAAGTAAAAGTTCAACAAAATCAAAATTAAATTCAAAATTCCAAATGAGTCAGAAAACACTTCCTCTTCATGAGGATGAAATTTTTACAGTATTCAGAAGTATTCAGAGATGCCTTAAATAACACAGGTTTTTACTGTGGAGTATGTTTCTGAAAACTGTCTCCTTTCCTTTGAATAGAAAGCTGAGAGTGGTGCCTTGGAAGTGCAGATATGCTCTTCCATTGAAGTTGGCTAACATCACCCTGCTGGTACAAAGCAGGCTTGTAAAGCACCTTCCTTGTCCTGTCTTGTCATGGCTTGCCTAATTGAAGCAAGCAGCATCTGTTCTACAAAACAGCCCAAACAGCAGTAAAGAAATAATTCTTTAGAATCGGTATTTCAAGTAGTAGTTTCCTTACTAACACCTTAAACATGTGGATGGATCAGATTCAGGTTCTCAGGTGAATTGTCTGTATAATTTGCAAAGTATTTTGCGGACTGTGCAAGTAAAGTAAGGTGGCACAGCTGAGTTTTGTCATAGACAGACCTGCTTTCTGATTTAATATATAACATGTGTGAGTTTAAAAATGCTTCATCTACTTGATGGGATGTTGAGAGAATCGCTGTTAATATTTCACTGTTATTTTCTTTACTCTCGGCTATAGCCTTTAAGCTTGGAAGAAATGGAAGGATAATACCAACAGTTATATTAGCTTCAAGTATAAGAACTTGCATTTTTAGTAACGTCCAATTCTTGCAAAAAAAAAAATTCAAGTTTGCCATTGTATATTTCAGTTAGAAGAGTTTCATCTTTTACAAGAATCTTTGTGCAAATTAAATGTGGTTTTCTTCTAAAAGGTGTACCTGCTGCTTCTTTGGTAACCCCTGCTGATGTCATCAAGACAAGACTGCAAGTGGCAGCTCGCGCCGGTCAGACAACATACAGTGGAGTTATTGACTGTTTCGGAAAGATTCTAAGGGAAGAAGGCCCTTCGGCTTTTTGGAAGGGAGCCGCAGGTGAGAAATGCGTATTGAATATCATGACTGACCCCACTTGTCCGAATTAGTACCTGCTGCTGTTCTGGAGCAGTATTTAGAAGGCCTGATTCCAAACAATGTAACTTTAACGTTCTGTTACAAAATGCTCAGCTTCTCGCCTGAGAAACTGCCTTTTGTTTAACACTGTAACTTGCAATACTCAACAGCTCGTGTGTTCAGATCTTCGCCCCAGTTCGGCGTTACTTTGGTCACTTATGAACTTCTGCAGAGGTGGTTTTATGTCGATTTTGGAGGCCTGTAAGTCAAACATTTGCTTTTTAACTTGCAATAGGTATCTGCAAGGTTCAAAAATCTTACTTTTTTCAAGCATGGTACCACTTAAAGTTGGTGGTTTTGTGCAGCAGTTGTAGTATGAGCCAGATAAGTCCCTCAGCCTTTTGTAATTAATACAGTGGAGCTTAATTACATGCTACTTCTAAACAAGTGAAGAGATTAAAAAATATATGTATTTTAATACATTCCATATAAAATTTGTCTTTCTAGTGTAGCAAGATATTTTGTCCTTCTTACCTGCACCATAGGAAGTTAAAAGTTGTTCTCGCTTGCCCATTAAGCAGCGCTGTGAACCACCCCCACCTTTTTTAAATAGTGGAAAAGCTTTTTCATTTTCTTCCTTCAAACAGCAAACCTTCTGGATCAGAACCTACCCCGAAAACTCGAATTTCAGATCTTCCTCCCGTTAACCCTGAACACATAGGCGGATACAGACTTGCTACAGCTACATTTGCCGGTATAGAAAATAAATTTGGTTTGTATCTTCCCAAGTTTCGATCTTCTGTCACTGTCTTAGCTCAACCAGAAAGTAGCAGCTGAATCCCAAAGAGACATTTCAGCCTCTGAAAGTGATGCAGTGCTAGAAATTCACAAGAATAGTACTGTTTTTTTCCAGTCAGCTGCATGTTTTTCTTGCTGAACTGAGATTGCAAATCAAATTACTCCTTTCTAATATTGATATACACACATTTACCTGTTTCTAAACTAGTTGCACATAAACTGACTAAAGCTTTGGGTCTATGCCTTGTTTTTAACAAGTGGCATGAATGTGTTAATCCTAAGCTTTGCCTTGCACAGCTTGCATTTAATGTTACTGTACATATTGTACATCTTTGTACAGAGACATCATGGCATCTCTACACATTTATATAATGGATATTGCAGTTTGGAATGTACAGAATGTTTGGAAGGCTTTTTGTTAAGACTCATGTGACAATAAAGTATTTAAAACCACTTAAGTCAGTTCATTCCTTCGTGGCTATAGAGAAGTTGTCCAATATGATTTTTCTTCTCTGCAGATTTCAGACTAAAGGTTAAGGATTAGATGCAGCCCTTTAATGAACGTATGGTGCAGTATGTAGCCTCTGCAGGAATGCCATTTACTCTGACCTAGTTACAGCAAACGTATTAAGACGCAAGGTACTGGCTTGTAAGTATAAAAGAACACAGTACTTAGATGAGCACATGCAGTGTTTTATTTTACAGCACTGTTTTGCAACAAAGAATTCTCCCAAAGCACATGATAATACTAATTCTGTATTAGATCTTACCTCTATGGTAGCATATCTAAAGTATGAAATATTTGTCCATTATTAAAAGACTCATGATTTTTTTTTTGACAGGATTACTTGGAGCATTTGTCTTTGAGTAGCAAATTGCACTAAAGTAGTGCAATAGCTCTGGTACTACCACATTCCAAATCAGAACTACAGGGGATAGTACAGGGGAACTAAGAAGCTGTGGCCAACTCTCACTGCTGAAATGTATGTCTGGGCAGATCTACATGATCTCTTACATGATCTAGGAAACCAACCTTTTAAATGTTTGACAAATTAATGTTGAATATTACTTAATTCTGATGTCTTTCCTAAGCCAAGTGACCTCAGCTGTGCTTCTGATAGTGGAGAGTGAAGTATTGCACAAAGAATAGAAACACCACCTCACCTGCCCAGCAGTTAGTATCTGATTTCTACTACTGTGTGTGAAATAAATAAATGCATAACTGTCCCTATTAACAAAATTCCTTCATCTTCCACTCAGGAAGCCTCTATAACTGTAGCAAAATATGACTGTAGTCCATCTACCCCAGTGTCCAAATGCACAAAGATTCACACCAGGAGGACAAAGAATTCCAGAGTGGAGAACTTTCTGTAACAGAAACTGAAGGCCTTCACTATCTTTCTAGGTAGTTTTTACACTGACAGACTAAGTGACAATATGTTATTTGTATTTTGTTATGTAAAGGAAAAAAAAAAAAAAAAAACCAAACAAGGTATCTCCTTTCATGAACAGAACGGACTTGCTAGACTGAGAATAAATTCCAGTTGGGCAGAATGCTAAGTAAAAGGAAAGGAGAAGTTTGAACTCTTCTGGTTTACTTTTAAACTTAGGATACAGAGAAAACAGTCCTAAGGGAAAAGAAGTTAAACCACCCACAAAGGCAGGAAGAAGGTAGGTGGATTTCCAGCTTTTCTTGTTTAAGTATCACCATCTCCAGTCTTCAGTTTTACAGTTTTATAGTCTCTTTCAGGGTTAAACAGCCAGGGAAACAGTGAGCCCCACTGATACCAACTATTGCTCAGCCAGTAGCCTCTATGAAGAGTTTTAGTTGGCTTGGGAAGAAGCAGCTTATTAAAAACTGAACTTCAGTTCTAGCTTGTAACCAAGATCTTTTCAATCTTGCATCTTTGCATCTTTTCAATGATGAATAACATTTAGTGAGCTAGACATTACAATACCCTGAATCAGATGTTTGATCTCTTTGCTGAAACATGTATATAACTCTATTAAGTGGTTTTTAGTTTTTAGTTTGTTTTTTTTACTGTTTAAAAAAATTACCTACTTTTGCAGTTCTGTAGATACAGGCCTCCTGGGAACACTCTTTCCTTTATCTGTATATTTTGTTCTTTTTTCTTCTGAAGAGATACAGACATGTGAAGTACCCACTGGCATTTAATCTCAGTCACAACTTGCTGACTGACTGGATCAGTCCTGGAAGGCTTTCCAATGTGAGAACTGCCATAGCTCTAAAACTGGACAGTGCTGCTCCCAGGACGATCATTTACAGTAACTGGCACCACTGCTGGTCTCAACTTTGCAAAGAGGGTTTTAAAACTTGCTTTGATCTGCACGTAACCGTTTTCTGAATGAGGAACACAAGCAGGAATACAGAACAATACTGCTATGTTACAAAAAAGTTAAAATCATTTAAAACTAAATCCTTATGATCTATATGTATGTTTCAAGTCTGAAGGAAACATTATTAAAGGAGAAGTGATGGTATTGAGGGAAGGAGGAGAACCTTCTGTTTGTAAGTATTATTGTGCCTAAGGGATAAAAATCACCACATGATGTTCTTCATGTATTTCTCAACCAAACAGCTGCTGTTGTAATACTGAAAAAAAAAAAAAATACAAGGCAAATTTCAAACTGAAGAGCATGACTGTACTGGAAATAGAGGGTAGACTTCTGACAAGCCAACACTGGGGGAAGCCTACAGCCCTTTCCCTTTCAAACCCACAGAAGAAGGGAACCTCTTTAAGATAGAACTGCTGCTACAGCTGTCAGTATCTCTATGAACTGCTTGTAATGGAACTGAAACAAAGATACACTCCAAAACCTATGAAAAACTGTGCAAACAAGAATAAGTTTGAGTAAGCTGGAAAATAAACCTGTATCCCACTTGTGAGCATAAAAAAAAAAATCTCTTCTGAAAAATCATAGTTTGTAGCAGATTAAGAATGAGAGAAACTGAACTTGGGTTGTTCTAACTTGGCTTTAGAGTCCTAAGCTGTCACAGGCATCAGTACTTGTTTAGTGCTCAGCTGCTACAAGTCAGAATACTTGCTTTATATTATTTTAAAAATCCCCAAACATTTGTGAACCTGAAGCTAACAAAAATAAAAGGGGGAGAAGATGTTTGATGGGAAAGTTTATAATATCCTAGGAGAGGTTTATTAAGAAACACAGCCTTTAACAGAAATCGTAACATTCCATTTCCAAGCTGTTGAGAGGTTTTTGATTCAAAAGAGATGCTAAAAAGCAGCAAGAAAATTTTTCTTTATCTTCATATGGAAAAAAAAATCAGTAGCAAGATTGCAGCTATGGAAATCAATTCAAAATATAGCTCATCATACTTCAGAAAGGAAAAAACTAACAAGAGTGGCCTTCCTTGTTTTAGCCAACTACCACGATGGGAAGTAAAGGCTGGGAGTGCAAAACTGACATGTGCAGTATAAGTGAAGGCAGGCAGCAGAAACACTCTACTCTGAAACTACTGAAGGGAGACAGATTGGGGGTCAGGGCAGCTCATATAATATTTATGAATCAGTCTCACCCTTTAATGCACCAATTCAAAACAAAAGAACTTCTTATTGTTATTAAATATGTATTTCATCAATTCTGGTCCAATTATGAAATGAACTGTAACTACAGATGTTTTATTCACTCATATTACTCACTACCAGAGCCTGAAGCTTATCTCTATATAAGCAATGAAACTTACTTGGAACATACACATGCATATCCACTCGCAGTTTGAATTAAAGAACCCTTCAGAAACTTACTACCTCATGAAGGCTAACGTGTAATACAGGAAGTTTAGTTTAGAAACAGAACTTGTTTAGAAACACCATTTCTACTTTTCAGAAACATACTGTTTATAAAGTGGAGATTTCAGAAGCTTAACAGCAAATTTACACCAGGTTAGTGTTTCAGCAAAAGAAGTTCCTTGCAAAGTCAAAGTTAACTGTATTAAAAGTTACATAAGTCAAATAATGTGCTTGTAAGTTTTATATAAAAGTCAACAATGCAAGATCTGATTTTCAGAGATCATAACACGTTTTCCAAGTCCATGGTTGAATCCGCATACTGCCTTAAGCTATTACTGACACTTGCTCATACTTCTAAGATTCGCACCAAATCATTCACAAGTCTACCACTGCTGCCCCTTTGCAGAGATCTATGCTGGGATGCGGGTTGCAGCTTCCTCTTCCGCATCAGCTCTGTTGGCATTTATTTCTGCCAGTGTTCGGCCAAACCGAGTCCACTCGTCACTGCGAGGAACTGCAATTTGCTGTGGACAAAGATAACATTATTTAAGCTCACCAATGTATACAACAGAGCTCGTTTTGAACAGCAGAACTCATAAATAACATTCAGAAGAGCTTCCAACAGAACAGCTTGCCTTTCTTAGTGCAACTTCTAAAGTAGTCAAAACATCAACAGCTCTAACCAATGAAAGCAGCAGAATTTGAGAGTGATGTATTTAAGTATGCAATGATATCGTGACAAGCTTGCATGAGACTGTCTCTAAGGAAGAATATTAATGCCATGTCTGCAGCCAGTCGGCACATCATGTGCTACTGCAATACGCACGCTTACAATAGCAACCACTTCCCTACAGGATGAAGTCAAGACTGCTTCATTTCAAAACTTTTTGTTCAATACTCCTCAAGCAATTGTTTGAATTTACACGAACCAGTTATAAAGAACATGAAATCCCTACAAACAAACCTGTTAATGGTTTTATCTTATTCCACCAGCCTGAAAATCAGGTATTTAGTTTCTGACTGGTGTAGCTGCCAGAAGGTATGCTGAAAAGTTATAATAGAATATGTGAAATAGGCACATAAAGGAAATGTTATTTTCCCCCCACCCTCTAATCACAGAGAGGGAAAGTTAAAAGCAAGTTGCAAAATGCAAGTCCAAAAAAGTTGATTGTTCTGTAATGCACTTTGCACAACACGTGGTATACGTACCTCTCCCACATCATATATAACTATTTGGCCCTCTGAGTCACCGACAGCAATCTCTCTCCCAGTATGTGTCCATCTCACACGGTTCAGAGCAGGATTGCCCTCTACAGTAATGCTTGCAGTTGGCACCTGTATTCATTTGAAACATACTATTAAAATGCACAAGGATTTCCTTAATCAAAGACTAGAAAATACTTCATCCATCAGCACTGTATTAAGCAAAATGCTGGACCTGTCAATTTACTCAGTCTGTGGGTCTCAGATGACTCTCAATGGCCATATGCTATCACTAATGATGTGACCAAAAAAGTGACCAAAACAACACAATTCCTGCCCTCTGACTTTATCAAAATGCACACCTGCACTCCTGCCATGACACAGGAGCCATTCACCTTGTAGCTCTGTGAGAGAGCAAGGAAGAGCCCTGGGACTTCAGGGAATACTATGGACACAGGGCAGGGATGAAAGCAGCTGTCTTGGCAGTCCAAATCCAGACCAGAGGCTACAACTGAGTAACTGACTTAAAAACCATGCACTGCCCTATGCTTTTAGAGAAGCCCTTTCTTCTGTATGTACTTTTGTGAAGGTGAAATTTCTAATTGTAGAGTATGTCAGAATTACCCCTTGTCTATCTCTAACAAGTTTAGTCTTGGAAAGGGTTTATACTACAGGTAAGTACATAGTTTACACCAGAAAACCCAGACACTCCATCCTCTAAGTTTAGAAGCAACTCACTGAAGTTATTACTATGGCAACAGCAACATGGCACTAAGAACAAGTGGTGTCCTGGAGGCAGGTTTCTTCAGACTGTTAAGCTGTAGGCTGCCAAGGCTACACTGGGGAAGGCCTAAAAGTCACTTTCACAACGTGGGCTGGTATTAAACCAGATATTTTACATTCTTGTTATGGTTACAACAATTTAATTACTGCTGCCACTTGTAACGACCAGTCATTGGAATTATTACACTGCAATCAAATTAAAATATTCATTAGGCAGAAACTACTGGAGCTTAAGAATATTTAAGGACAACAAAAATACTTTGAACTCTTGTTACTTTTCCAAGTGCACAAACAATTTTCCACCTACATCTGACTGCTAACTTGATTGCCTCACCTCAGTGTCATTGTTGAGATTCCACAGGTCAAGCCGGCCCATCCCATCCACGCAGGCAAACAGGGCAGGGTGCGTTGGAGACCACATAACATCATAAACATAATCTGAGTTGTCTTCAAATGAGTAGAGAGGTTTGTTATTCTGGGGAGAAAAAAAAAAAAAAAAAAAAAAAAAAAAGTTATTCTGAAAAAAAAAACCAAAACCACAATGCAATATCCCAAGTCTGCAATTCATATTCTGTCAAGTAAGGCAAAACACAAAACTTATCAATAACGTAAAAAACCCAAACAGCCCCTGCAAGAAGCAGCCAGAAACTAAGTGTATTATCAAAGACATACTTTCCAATGCACAAAGTCTTATCTTGGCAGCTACTATAAAAAAATCAGTAGTAAGCCAATACTGTAAGATATTTTAAACTTAACACATTAAAAATTTCATACATCAAGAAAAAGCTATGCCATGACAGCACTGTGCTCCTCAGGAAATCAGCACAACAGAAGAGGTAATTCCAGCAAAAGGAATACCATGTGTGTCAATTGCAAGTCTCTAAATGCAGTTTGAGATTAGTTTTGGTGCTGTCTCCCAGTCCTCCACAAAATTGTAGCAAAACATTTGTCTTATGCATTAAATGAAGTAACTCAATTTAACAATGATTTGTATTTGATTACACTGTAATCACTGTTGATAACAAAGGGCAAAAGGATGAACAGAATGGATCAGAAGTACACAAATGATGTACAATCTGAAAGCAAAGACATCTTTATGTTGTTAACTAGTTTCGTTCATCAGTTGTCTTCTCTTTGCAGTAAACCAAAAAACAAGCACTAGGAATCACGTGGACTACTGGTAGGGATCTGGAGAGCTTCACACACTTTGTCTTCAGTTTACCTAAGTTTCCTGAGTTGAGCAGCTTACATTATAGCACCACCTTGTGTCAAGGACTATGAAGAAAACCACTGAACTGTCTATTATAGTTACCTTCGTTGTCCAAAGCTTTACTGTCCAGTCAAAAGAAGAGGTGACAAAAAGATGTGAGAAGTCTACAGGTCCAACTGCTGCATGGCAGTGGATACCTGTGATTGGTCCCTGGTGTCCTTCAAACATCTCACTGATTCCAGCTTTGCTGTTTTAGAATATATAACCAAAGTTAATTTCTCTGGAAACCATACATCTGCAGACAGAGATAGCACTGAAACGCATTTTAAAAATAACCTCAAGAAGATTTTGCTGCTTTGAATGGATGTCTGCCCAACTGCAAAGGCTTAATCTCAACAGGCTCACTGAAGACCAGGCTTGAATACTGACTTCAATTTCAACATTTTTCTTGCGCTCTTTAAGTGCCAAAAATCGACCATGGGGTGCAGAGACTCATTCAGCAGGTACCGGCCCACTCACATTTAACTGTGTTGTTTTAAAGCAATAGCTAAAACTTTGAATCATATAAAGAACCAAATTCAGACTCAGGAACAAGCACAAAACTCCCACTGACTTAAAAGAGGAGCTGCAAGTACAGCTTGTGGACACAAAAGGGTTCAGACATAAACCAGTAACAATGTATCCCTAATAGTCTCCTATCAGAAGTGATGAAAAAAGAACGGGGAGGGGGGGGGAAAGGGGGAGGAAGATAGAAAGAATGTTACACAGAAGTGATACAATTTCAGCTATTCTGGAGCCAAAAAGACCTGCAGCAAGGGTGATGTGTATCTGAGATGAAACCTGGACACTCAGTTATATTTAAGAAAGCAATTGATAAGATACAGTCAGACAATTTCAAAATAGATTGAACAGCAGGAGAACAGCTAGCCAATTTAAGATTTGTGCGTGATGTTACTGTACAATTATCTACAGAACTGATACAAAGTTTGGAATGTTCTGCTACAATTCAAATGAATAAAAACCTCAGTGACCTGCGCTGCCCCCATCACTGCAAACTCCTGGCCAACGCAGAGCGCATAGGACCAGTTCTGTAATCAAGCTCCTCATGGTTTTAATGAAGCTCTTGGGAAATAGCATGCACTGGAATTCAAACAGTGCTATTTCAAAGATTGTCCAGAACAAAGACTAAACGTGTACTAAAAACAATTTTAGCGGTGTAAAGCATACACGGTCCCATCATTTCACAGCTTCTATTTCCTTTGAATAATTAAAAGCTTTTATTCACCTCCCGTGACGGCATGCAGTATAGACTGAGCCTTCTTCACTTCCAACAACAAAGTTGTTGACATCTCCAATAGGGAAGGACATGCAAGTAACAGCCACAGCCTTGGACTGTTTGTGAACCAGCTCCATGCTATCCTGTAGTGAAAACACCAGTAACTTGCTTTAAGATATATAAAAGAGACACTAAGGGTTACAAAGTCATTTAGATTTCTCTAGATTTGTTGTTGTTCTACTTAAGTAGAATTGTACAAGAATAAGTTCTCTCTTGTGCTAACAGCGAATATCATAGAATCATAGAACCACAAGGTTGGAAAGGACCTACAAGATCATCTAGTCTAACCGTAATATAATTTTTACAACGTTCCACAGGGCAGAAAAGGCATTTTATCCAACACCTACTAAGCTTAAGTATAAATGGGTATTGTGAAAACGTTTATTAATTCTTCTCAGATTCATTAAGTTTGCATAAAGTATTTATACAGCACAGATACTATACATACCCAAACTTATCTTACCTGTGGCTGGGAAAGCATGTCTAGGCTCCAAGAGCATATCTTCCCATCAGTTGAGATACTGATCAAGTTATGAGCATTCTGGGTCCCAACAACATTTACACAGTAGACGGGGTGCTAAGAATTATGAAATAATATCAGAAAAAGGAATTACAATTGTAGAGCAGTTAATACACTACAAAATATACAATGTCATTTAATGAAAGAGAAAAGGTTGATCACAGTATGGTACAGAGAATACTTCTGTTCTTCAGCGATAGCACAGGAAAACATAGACAAACATTTAAGCATTATCAATCAAGTGCACCGGACAGAGTTTCCTGGAGGTTAAATGCATCTTAACAAGAAACAGTCTTCGTAGATATTTCACCCCCTACCGTGTGAGCAGCAGCTGAAAGTGGAGTTCTCTGCACTGGAGTTCTCTTATTGCTGCGATTATCCCATAGCACGATCTGGCCCGAGTATGTGCCACCAACCACCAAATTGGGATGAAATTTTGCAAATGTAGCTGACATTACTGCTGACTGAAAGGGGGAAAAAAAAAAAAAAAAAAAAAACAACAAAACACAAAAATACACAAAATCCTATTATTCACTGATGCTACATCTAAAACTAAAAGAAAACCTGACCAGTAAGTTCTTTGCTTTGATTTGATATACTATTTCATTGTTCTGTCACAGGTGGATTCTAAAACATTTTGTGAACACCAGGAAGTACTTAGTTTTAACTTGTATTCAGAAACAGAAGTTCTCTTTTTTTCCCCACCCCGTTCACATAAATTCGTTTTGCTCCTAGCATGGTTTGTTAGCAAGGGAAGGTCCAGTAATGCACAAGTTAGTTATTCATGTTTTGCCACGGTCTGTGGTCATTTTTTCCATGAACCTACAAATCTGTCTCAAACATAACAAAGCTACTTTTACAATCTGGGCTTTGACAGTAATCTGACAACACTGGATTACATTTTGATTCAGCTATGTAATTTTTCATAAATACAACATTTTGAAAGTAAAGTGGCTATTTCAGGCTTGAGATAATGGAAGAAATTTGCAAGATTTTATCTTTCTGCATTTACTGAGAAGCCTCCATCTGCCTGTTTCACTTGCAACATGTGTTTCTAGTTTTCATCCTTGCTCCATCTCCTCAGGCCATCTTCATTTTATTCAGTAAATTAAGCTCTAGTAGTATACAACTCTGCTCAGTCTCTATACATAACAAACCTTCTTTGTGGTTCAGCCACTACATAAGAAGGTTTTTGAGCTTTCAAGTAAATTAAAGTGAGTTCTAAAACAAGACTGAATTCTGAATGGTCAGAAATTCTATAACAGAAGAATGTTTCTAAGCTGTGTTCTTTAGCTATCACCATCTGTTTGCAAACACATGTGGTTAAAGTGAATGCCAGCCCAATGAAATCATTATATTGACAATCTTAAGGAAGGTAGATGTCCAAGCTCATCGGCATAAAATCTTCATTCTCCTGAGACAGAACTGTACCTGGCAATGAAAGACATACTCTGGCGTAGTCTTCTTGTACTTCATATTCCACACAAGGGCCACTCCATCAGGCTCATGAGGTGCATCCTCATTGTTGTTGTAAGAGGCAACAAGTAATTCTGGGTACTGAAAAATGGGAAAGATTTACAATGAGCAAGATGATTAGCCAGTGGTCCAGACAATCCTAGATTCTTTGTTCTGTGCTGCCAGAACAGGGATCAAAGAAAAAGAGAAACAAAAATAACCTTAAATAATCTCTGTGAGAAATGGCATCAGTTAAAACTGCAGTTGTTACAAATTTAGCTCATAAACATTATTAATGGGCACATTAAATTCTTGCTCTTTTATCATAATCTACTTTTATATGTAAACCCCACTACCTTTAATAGAGCTGTCTTCTGAAGCTAATGCTTAACTTTGAAAAGAAGAGCATAAAGGAAGAACCAAACATGCTGAAGACTTTCTCTTTATAATTCAAAGGTTCTACTGCTATTCACGTAAGATGTAAATTCTTTTTACTATTTGCAAACCATGGACAATTTCAGAAGTGTTTTCCAAATGTATTCTAAGGAATGCATTTAGAAATACAGCCTATTTCAACTCTACACTCAGAAGGTTCAAGTGTACAGAACAAGAAGAACTTAAAGATGACTGTATAACGTTAGTGGCTTTTTTTTTGTTGTTTTTTACCTGAGAGGACCAGTCCAAACAACAGACAACACGATGCTTTGACCAACGTTCATCAAAAAACTGCCTATTTAAGGACAGTTTTGCTCCTGCTTGAATCTCCCTGTGAAGGCAATTAGGGAATGTTCATCTCTGACCACTTTTTCAAACAAAAACATTGTACGTTCACAGTAAAGCATTCAGCGTTCACATTACCCTTCTTTGTCTTCTAAGTCTCTTCCACTGTAGTCGAAGAAAATATTGATTTGTTCAGAAAGGGCTCTTTCGACAATCCTCGTAGAGTGGTCAAAGAAACTTAAAAACTCTTCAGAATGCAAAATTTGTTGCTTTTCCTCTTCTGTAAGTTCATGAGGGGCAGCTGGAAAAGGATTACAGGCTTTCTATAGCACATACTTTCAGAAATTCTTTCCAAGAAAGGGAAACAGCAAACAAACAAAAGTATTTATCACAATGCACAGTGTTAGAAAAACTGTTGTTTAACATCCATGCACTTTATATTAAGTCACTCAATTTAATTTCAACTCAGTGGAAAAGTTAAAATGTATTAAATATTTCTCTTTGCAGCACAAAATGCTGAGGTGAACCATACCTTCCTCCTCCTCTTCCTTTTTGAACGTTTTTACTTCCTCAGGTTCAACTAAGGGCTTTGGTGCAACCACATCATCATCTTCCTCCTCATCTAAGAAAAAAGTACAACAAGACCATCAGTGTTTTTATAAAGGAACGGTACCATTCTGTAGGAATCTCAACATATAAGAACGGTATAATTTAGCTTAAAACGGTTCTATTTATAAGACGCACATCCCTGTATAACATCATCTCATACTCTGCCTGCAGCTGGATTTTAGGTGCACTAAAATACGTACCTGTATAAGCTGAAAAAAGACCCATTAAAAATTGTAAAGGATCCAAAGTGGAAATCTCTCTTCCAAGCATTTATGATTCCACACACAACCATGTGGTTGATGCACGTTCTGTGTAACATGCTGACACATTAATGCTACAGAATACAGAAAAATCAAAAGCCTAAAATAGTCTATAGCACAGCTGCTTACTGGGGATCTGAAACCATCAGACTAATGGGTCTTTCCGTGGCACAAAGATGGCTTACATTAGCTTTCAGGTTGCTACTCTGAGAGGCAAATTTTGCTGAAGACAATAACAGTGATATTACATTTTTTCTGTCACTGTAAAGGTGAGTCTCATTATCTGTACCGTGTTCGGCAATGAGGACTTCATAGCAAAATGTGTTTTCTCCAATTGCAGCGAATAACGTACGTTACTGTTTGGGAACGCTGACAGGGCTTAGAGCATTTTCTGCATTTCTGCATTTTATTCCTTGAATACCGTAAACCAGAAAACAAGTTTAGATTACTTTGTGTTGTGGAATACAGGCTTCCTGGCTTTTCTTCATCCGCTTTCCCCAAATAAGCTTCTGAAAAGACTGTTTTTATCAGCCAAACAGCTACATCACCTGTCTGTAAGGGAATAGCAGCGGGAGTCTACTGCATGCCTCACCACAAGGAACAAGGCAGTATTCAGCATGGACTAGGTTTGTTTGTTGCAGCCATCTCCCCGGCCCACGTTCAGCTACCTAACAACAACCACAAAATCCATGCAGACAAGAGAAGCAAAGAAAAAGAAAAAAAAGAGCCTGGTCAAGGGATGGGAACCAGCTGCCAAGCCAGGGTCCCAGCAGCCAGCCAGCTGACTAGATAGCAACAACCAGATGGTACTGCTAGGATTGTCTCTCAGCTATGAGGTGGCGATGGGATGGCACAGCATTTTTCTGCCTGACTGCTTCCAATCATGTCTTTCCCCAATGGCAAGCCTGTGCAATTACCAGCACTCCAGGAGGTCTACAGACAAGCCTTTACCCTGCAAACAAAATACAGCTTGTAGGCCATACCAGCTGCCAAACCACACACATAGTGATAGGTTTAAAGAGGTCTGAAAATCTTTCTAACTCCATAGTGTAGGCAATAAAAATATAACTGTACCTGCAGGAAAGAAAGCTTTAAATGACACTGTATAATGCACACAATAATACAAACTCCAACTTAATCAAAATGATAATGACGTATGCCAATCCTACATTACTTGAAATTGAGCGATTTTTACGTTCTGACAAGTTTACAGAACTAGGATAAATGGCATGAATGATTTCAATATATGCTCATACTTTTGAACCAAATGGTGAAGGTTAAAATCTTTCCTTTCAAGGGCCTCAATCAGCCACAAAGGAAAACAGTAATCACTGTCTTTTCAGCCAGCCCAACCGCATTTGTCAGCCCTTTCTCCGTCAATGCAACCAGAGCAATCAACCTGCCAAACATTCAGAATGGAAAAACAATCTGAAAATACAGGGTATAATGCACCTGCCAGTGAAAATGGCCATTTGAAGAAAAGCTAGTGATCTCAGTGACCCTGCTGAGGAGGCGGTGGTGCAAAGGGGAAAGAACGCGTAAAAGAATTCTTAGTGATCTCCACTCTCTTGCACATTGACACTTCCTTACAAAGCATGCCAATTACAGCTTTTGTGCTACTTAAAAAAATAGAAAGCTTTTTTGGGCAAAATAATCACGCAGAGAAACAGAAAGACACTGCTCCTTTTAGATGGATTCGCGTGTACCGCAGACGAGTCATCTGAACACCCTACAACTTGCAGCAATTCCAAAACACGTAATTCTTAATGTCAAATCACTATAAGTGTGAACACTAATTAATTAAAAAAAAAAAAACCCAAAACATAATGCAAGTTAACAGATGCTATTTTGAGAACAACAAAAACAGGACAACAAATTCAAGTTACACTTTTATAAAAATGGCCCCCCCGCTCTCCCAGCCAATCAATACAGCAGACTGAAGTCATGCCTTAAATTCAGAAATTTCGTTGGGGTCACCATGGATACATTATTCCAGATCTGAAAGTCCCAGATTAGAAATTTCAACCCAACCCCCGTTAGCCATACTACACTGATTCTAAATACCATTTTCAGTGACAGGAGTCAAATTCTTTTCAAATGCAGATGGTCAACCCCTTAGTGCTAAGTGACCTTCTAATCTACATATTTTATTCAAAAGACCATATAGTTGATTGCTCGTGTCTTTTAATGTTTGAAACATAAATGGCATATATTATACAGAGATCTAAATTCCTTCATAGTACTTGCACTGCATACAGCCAGCTGATATTACTGCACTGAAATGCAGGATAAGCACTTATTTTAATACTCTCAAAGTATCAGAGATGAAATTGAACATGTCATCTCACTGTGATTTATCTGTAACTACCTAAATCTTAAAACCTTATTTCTTCAAAGAAATAAGTCACATGCAAACTTTCTTGGATCCCAGGAAAAAAAAAAAAGTTCTTGACCTCATTACCCAATAGTGGAATGCTTGCTTCACAAGCACCTGCAGTCCAAAAAGGCACTATGATGTTGTTCAGAAAAAGAGCTAAGAGGTTTTGGTTGTACTTCTCTTTTCCCTCACATACCTGGATTTTATTACCTAGTTCAAGTGCTGGTGTTTCCAGGGCATCAGCTAAACAGCAATGTATTACCCAGCAAACACTGGCAGCTCAGGCATACAACTCCTAAAGAAGCTGCACGTCTAGCAAGTCAAAGATCCACATGAAACACTTGTATACATATTTAGTGTCAGCTATATGAATACAGAAATCTCAAAGGCACTGGCTAACTTCATCCTCATTATTTTCTACTGACTGTACCTATTGGCACTTCAACTGTCAGCTACCACATAACAGTTCCTTATTTTATAAAAACAGCTGGTAAGAGTTAGGGAAGTCACACGGCTCTGAACACTGGAAATAGGACTCTGTCACATTAACATATCGATGAACATTCTTTATAACATGCCAAGTGATTAAGTCCATGTTTTTTTCCTGACAGGAAGCTGGGAATCCTACATTATCAAGCGAGCAGGAAAGAATGCTTCACAGGCTGCCACTTCCACAAGGACAAATTTCTTGTCAATGAACGCTAAAAGCAGGTTTAACAAACCACAGGATTTTGACTTTGAGTTTACATCAAAATTGTAATGTATTTTGGCAAGGTGGAAAGAAAAGCAGTGCTGTATATTAGGCTGCACCCAGCAATAACGCTATAGAGTGAAGTTCCAGTTGTCTGAGTAATCTGTTGCTGCAGAATAGGTTAATCAAAGTTAAATCATCTGTGAAATGGGTGGCTTTTGTTAAGCAGAGATATCTTCATACCAAGTTTTCCCACATATACTTCACTGTACATTTAAGACCTACACAGGGCAATATGTGAATGTATAAGGCTCTGTTATTTCCTCTTAGAATATTAGAACATAAAAACGGTACATTCACAGTAAGCATCTGAGCATACATTCAAGCATCTGAGAAACCAACATATACCCCCAGGTTGTTGTCAGTCTGCTGAAGTGAGAATTAAAAAGACACAAGTACTTGGTATCTTCATTCTTAAATGAAATTCTCAAATTCCTCACGAAGTAAAGCTAGTGGAGCAATACTGTCTGCAGCCAGTGCTGAGTGCATACGCACTGCATTGTACAGTGACACCAAGCAAATATCCTGTTTGCGGGGAAAAGTCTTGACTGAGAGGTAAGCAGAAGTGTATTCAACTGTACAGCTATCTTTCCTTACATTAACCACTTCAAGGACTCAAGAACACATCTTTCTATTGGCTGTGCTGGTGACTTCTTCTTGTGCATATTCCAACTATAGCTTAGCAAATCAAAAAGCAAGAGATCAAATAGTAAGGCAGACAGCCATGCAACAAGAACAGATAAGAATAATGTCTGCACCAACAATTACTGAACTCAGTAGCCAACACAGGACCTGCAGAACATGAAGACATATTCCAGAATACAAACAAATCTGCTTCTCTGTTGCTAAAACTGCTTCTACTGCAGTCTGCTAAAAAGAAATAAACGTACAAAGGGAACACAATTTCAAATATATCTTCAGAGACTAGATCCAAAGCCTGTTGCCTGATAGAGTATGCCAAGTAGAGGCCAAATAGTAATCCTAATAACTAGTTGACCATACTAACTGAAAAGCACATCCACCAAAACTGGACAATGAGAGAAGCAGGCAGGAGTGTTATACACAGCATCGTGGGAAGTGAGAAATAGAATTAGACAGCAGAAATAGGGATGGCAGAAGGAGGATGCTGGGGAATGGAGCAGCATAACAGTATGTTCCTGTTATGATGGTGACAAAAATTACTGAAGTGGTAGTAATGCTGTAGAGACCCAGATGTTAAGGTTCATTAGTTATGAAATAAGGGAGAACAGCACCAAGTGTGGCACAACCCTTAAGCCACAATAAACGTATTTGGTCCCTAATCCAAAGAACAGGTCATCATTACAGAATGAGAAGAACAAAACAAACACAGCATGTTAGGAGGGAGGAAAAGATAACTATTGTCTCTGCTGCATCCCTTGGAACGACAAACCATTTCATGACTACATTTTGATAAATTCAGCTGCTACAGTAAGATTAGAATACTAAGGCTATTGAAAAATCTGGAAAAAAAGAACAAAGATGTGAAAAAATTAAATACTGAAGACATGTTTTGATGAAAATCTTTAAACAAGAGGTTTTGAGCACGAAGATATCTACCCCAACACTATTTCTGTGCTTCTCCTGTGTCATTAGTGATGGGCTTGTATAAATTGAAATCAGAGGAAAAAGCAGCTGTGGGTTCCAGTCTTCGTATGAGAAATCCTTAAAATACTGTGGATTTACCTTCTAAGCCTACTTTGGACTTGGACATCCTCCTACAAAAACTATGAAACATGCTTATTAACTTCAACTTGGGGAAACTGAATATTCCGTACAGTACAGATAAGTTGCATCCCGTAGCAGAAAATTTCCTACTCTAAAGAAAACTACATCTATCCTAATCATAAACTGAAATTGATTTCTAGGAGAGGTCTTGATTTTATTCTTTTAAGGGATAAACTAAAAAAGAGCCACCTTCCCAAGACAAACAGTTTCTCGAACACTTTAAGGACATAATAAGGCAACCCATTACTACTTAAACTCTTTGCACAAAGAGGCAATAATGCCACTGGCACAGAGGTCACATTCTAGCTCCAGCACCAATGGCTGCATGCAATCTTGACATACTTCCACATCAAGTGGAGATGTGGCTCAAACTGGTTGCAGCTGACAAGATAGTGGGAAGAGTTACTCCATATTTAATTTGCCTAGGATGGTACAGCATATCTGTACTACACAGAAGCACAATCATACAAACTTAGTCTACCTCTCTTCTCTAACTAGAAGCACATGGAACTGTCCTGGCTTAGGTTTTGGAACAACTGAATGCTGTCCATTCTGTCAGCATCTGAGATGAGTGACCTCTGCGTTTTAAAACCAGAACCAGTCAGGTGACAGGTACTCATTGCTTGAATTTAGCTTTCTTACAGCAAACCCCAAATGGGCATCTTCATGCCTATAACTTAAAGCTGACCTTCAAAGCCTCCCCTATGTAACAGTCACTTCATTTGTTGTGCCACAAAGGCTTCTACACAATTACCAACTCTTCTAGTTCTAAGTTAGCTTTCTTCTACTTCCTATCTGAACCACCAGATTAGTTATAGCTTGAATGTTTCTCAACTCAGCTCACAAACTGAAGTATGCAACCACCTGAGGCACAGAGAAGCGATGCTGAAGTGAAAGTAGCAGTACTTTGCTATATAAGTTTGCTAATATAAATTCTAGTAACTTTCTTGTACATGAGAAATAGGCAATCGGATGCTCCAGTTTGGGAGGTCTTGAAGAGAAAAAGCTTTCTAAGTTTGCAGTGGACAGCTACTACATACACTGCAGCAAAAGCAAATATGTAACTAGACAGAAATTCAGCTAAACTTTTCTGTGGAGCAACCATCCTAGGAAATTAAGAAATGAAACAAATAGGATTGTTATCTTGCAGCAAAGTCAGCACAGTACACCCTACAGCACAAAAGGACCTAAAGCTAACAGGACTGCCAAGCATATCCAATGAAAATGTTTCCATCATCCTTTGCACAAAAGCATGGCACTAGCAGCATTTTAAAGTGTCAAGATACAAGAATTAAGAGAGGTTGTTCTCTCCACTTTATGGATATGCAGTCAGAGAAAAAACATACCTGCTGTCACTCCGTTCACTCAGTTTGTTGTATAGATACAATGCTTCCAAAAAAGTTGTGGGGGAGTTCTCAATCCAAAATATATCCTACTTTCATTTATTGGTTGACAGCTACTTAAGAAACTGAATGCCTAAACATACACAGCAATAAATTGCCACATATTATCAGTAAGAGTAATGCTACAGTTAAACAAGATGTAGAATGCCAGTAACGCTCTTAAGGCAGGCCTACAAGTGTTTAGCAGTAGAATTTATACAAATTATATCACAAATCAACAGCCATTCTACCACATTAAGTTTTGAGATCAAAACTGTTGGCTCTAATTCAGCCAATCACTACAAAAAAAAAAAAGAAAAAAAAAAGAAAAATACTGCATTAACATTCACCTTCCTTTGGCTGAGTCATAACAGGTGTTTGTGTCTCCTTTGTATACGTAACAATTTCCCGAGGAGGAAAGTCAACTTGTGTGATTTTGGCCATTCCAAGTTTAACAGGTCCGCGTCTACATAAAATTAATAGAAACATCAAGGAAAAAGAAGTTAACTTCATGAATTACTTTGTATTCTGTCTACAGTAATACAAAAATCATCAAATCACAGCATAGCTTTGTGAAACTTAAGACCAGTGGAAACTTATCCCTGAAAAAGTCACAAGATCACAATCAACACTTTATTATAACTATTATTTAAAGTCACTTATATCCACAGCTAAGACAAAAATGTGCAAATATACACAAGTATCTCAATTAAATGATATCACTCTAAAGTTTTGCTCTTTGCAGCTACATACAGTACTGCTACATATGTGAAATATCCATATTGTCAGTGGGACAGATCTGCCTGCATGAGTTGTGTTTGTAGGGGTTTTAGGACTTCAAAACTTAAACAAACCAGCTTCATTACTCTGAATTAAAAAGCATTTTTCTAGATTATTTAATTTTGTCATCATTTTTATTTACTTCTAAGCTGCAGGCCTGAAGGTCACATATTGACAAATGACTTATCCATGGTGCAATACTCCAGTGTACATCACTGGAAAGCTTCAAATATTCTGCCTTTAGCTTATGAGACATGTCAGAAATATGGAAGCAGCCAGGATCAAATTACAATGCAAAATGTATTTCCAAAACCAACAAAATATTAATACAGTTTCTGTAACATTCTGCTCAACCTAATTATCAAATGTACAGTAGTAATAATCCATTTTTCTTTTAAGTACCTATAAGAAGCAAAATTTCATATTATTTTCTAAGTTAGAAATGGGAAGAGAAAAGGAAAAGCTTCTGAGCAGAATCGTAACTCAGAGCATAACGGTTTCATTATGCGATTATAATGAGTTACAGCTTCTATAAACATATTTGTCATTTATGCGCATCATAAGAAACGATGGGAGTCATTCCATTTTTAAACATAGTTATTCTAAGCATTATCAAGACATTACTGTTAAGTTTGCATCTTGCCAAAGGAAGACTCAAAGAATAACGTTAGTAAGAAAGCTCTATTATTAGAAATAAGTAGGTCACTTACATTAAATAAGACCAACATTTCCCATTGTGAGCCAACTGCACTACATCTAAGGACACTAAACCTCTCTAACTCACAGAACAGTCTCCTAACAGTAACTCAAAGTCTGAAGAAAAAGAAAGCTCTTATGCTCATTATATGCAAGCGTATGAAAGAAGGAATATAAGAAATCTATGCAATACCCCAGATCGGAATCAGAGTGGAGCTGAAGAACTGATGGATCAGTATCCCAATGCAGCGTCCTGATACCACAGGTTGAACAAATCATGCAGCATTAGCAAAAAAGGCCAGAGATTAGTGAAGCAAATACACACTATGAAATCCTAGAGTTACAGTAAGCTCATAGTTATTTCATTGTTCACAAGAAACAAAACAATGTAACATCACTTAAAAGAAATTCAGCAAATATTCAGTGCAACGATACATGCAGTCAATGCAAAAGTTAAAAAGCAAAAACAGACCCCAGAGCTATTAGGAAAGAATTAAATTCTTGTAAAGACTGAAAGTTAAAGATCTGCAAATGTAGCTTTTATGACAGGCTAGTACAGATATTTTAAACAGTGATGAGAACTACTAAGAACTTCCTTTCTAAATCTGTTCATATCTGTCCATGCCTTAAGATGACAGATTTGTTAATGTAACGCAATCTTGCCCAGAGCAGTAAATATGTGGAGGAAATGGTCATATTGGTAAAGGAAATGAATCAACACACAAACCTTTTGGTAGAGGGGCAAAAA